TTATTCATACAGCAGGATATTCTGTGTTTGATGGCTTTCAGGTTGCAGTGATCTGGTGAGACACGAGCAGTTCAAAAACCTTGCAGAGTGAAAAACCAATTACATATCTGTTCCCAGAAAAGCATTAGGGTAACAGCATGGGCTTTCCCAACTGGAGAGCATGGTCTGAGTCACAACCACATGCTACTGGCAAAGGTTATGTGGCTGCATGCCACCTTGATGGCTTTATAACTGATCAGAGAGCAGGGTAAAAGGAAACCATTAAGCTTTGTTTTCTTCCCTTATGGAATAAAAACAGCAGCTCTCTCTGGGGAACCAAGTCTGAGGGAAGAAAATCCCAGCTGACTTAATTCACTCGGACCAGCTGGATTACAGATTCTAAAAATAGATAGTTTTGTAGGAATTTACTTGCAGACTTAATAGAGAAACAAAAATTGAAAACATTTTCTCATTATTCAAACTTGTTGTCTCTCAAGTATGTTCCTATCAAATTGTAAAAGTTGGTTAATTAAAGTCACCCCTAAATCAACATTCTGTTGCTGATAAACTATATAAATGTGTCTAATTGTGCTGCAGACACTTGTAGTCAATAATTTGGCACTTTAGTGCATCTTAGTTCAAATTTAAATACTCAGCCTAAAACTGTCAATGCACTGTATTTGAATTTAAAGCTACCATCGCTATCGGCTAAGAGGTACACAATGACATTAGCTGGTACATTATGATGTCACAATGTCATTGTGAGCCTGTGTGTGTATTTGTTAGCGGCTTCGCCTTCTTGGTCTGCCAGGCATTTTTCAAACAGGAAGTGGGAGTGGAGTTGGTACCACCAGAGTATTACTCCACTCCCACACACACACAGGCTCACAACGACATTGTGACATCATACGGTACCAGCTAACATCCTAGGGTACCTCCTAGCCAATAGGGATGGCAGATGTAGTGCAGAGTTTTCACCTGACAACAGCACAACACTGAGTTTTAGGCTGAAAATTTAAATTTTAGCTAAAATGCACCGGGGCAACGGTGGCACAGGAGTTAAGTGCTTGTCCCATAATCGGAAGGTTGCAGGTTCGAGCCCCGCACAGTTTGCTGCTGTCGCTGTGTCCTTGGGCAAGACACTTAACCCTCCTTGCCTGCTGGTGGTGGTCAGAGGGACCGGTGGTGCCTTTGCTCGGCAGCCTTGCCTCTGTCAGTGCGCCACAGGGCAGCTGTGGCTATATTGTAGCTCATCGCCACCGTGTGAATGTGTGTGTGAATGGGTGAATGCCTGATTGATTTGTAAAGCGCCTTGGGGAGTTCCAGGACTCTAAAAGGCGTTATATCAAATACAGGCCATTTACCATTTCACTAAAGTGCAAAACTATTGACTACACGTGTCTGCAGCACAATTAGACACGCATTTATATAGTTTATCAGAAAAAATGGTGATTTGGGGGGTGACTTGCTCTTTAAAGATCAAACATGTTGAATATCCTTGAATAGAATGCCAGGCAGTATCTGATGGAACCATTACAGTCTCGATATTTAAGAGCAAAAAGCCTGTTTTGTATTCAGATCAGGATTTGCACTCATGGCTACAAAGGCAGAAGAGGCCCCTGATGATGGAGTTAATTCTCTCTTCTTCACTCCACTGCTGAGACATCGACTATCACACCCCCCTCAGTGGAACACTTACTGTACGAGCTGCAGGCAAACAGGCCAGAATATTAATGTACTGATACATCCTGGAGCATAAGAAAGACCACAGATCAGGTGCCTGGGCTTATTTTTTCATATATTTTTACACAGACACATCATTTATAACAGATGATGACTTCCACAGAGTCATTAGTCTCTAATAATGCTTCTTTGGCTGTGCCCTGCCACCATTAGCTTAAAGGTAGGTAATTCTAGGTATTTTACCTCATTAGGTCTGTAAAATGTATGTTGTTGCACCAAATGTGTGGCAGAAAGCTTTGAAAGCTCCTTTTGCATGAAACATGAGGCATTTTTGAATTTGTGTCACTAGAAGATCCCCAGAGTTTGGATCTTTATTCTGAAGGTGTTCTATAACCATGCATTGCTTTTGATACAGACTGTGCTGCAGAAAACTGAGGGTAAGATAATTTTCTTATAACTTTTATCACTCTGAGTAAGCATTCACACAGCTTCTCAAAATCATTTCTATTTAATGCCCATCTCTTATCCCTCAGCAGAAATTTTTAATTTTGATTTGCTAACAGTTATAATTATATAGCAAATGCGTGATTATTATTAGATTGCATAGGGACACTATGAAGGCGCATGAGTGCTAATGCAAATTCACTCTAATTTTCATTCAGCACTCAGAACACTGAGATCCTCATTAACTGTAGATCAGATTTTTTTCATCAGAGCGTTTGGTCTCACTCAGGCAAAACTATCAACAGATGAATCCAATTAAGTTTGTACACAAACATTCGCAGGTCACAGAAAAGCTACAAACACATGATTCTGTGAACTTCTAATTTTATTAACATTACTCTGAGTCAGACTGGCAGTGTGCCTCATTGCACAAAAAAGTGTTTTCCTAAAAGGAACTCTGAGATTCCTCTGTGCATCTGTCCCTTCCAGTTCATCATGGGTAGCATAGAGCAGATTTCCTGGGTTTTCTCCAAGGCATCATTCATGTGGGACACTCAAACATGCTTCAACTGAAGTGGCGCAGCCTATTTACTCAGGGCCTCATTTAATCAGTCAGCACTGGAAACAGAACTTCAGCTAGCATCACTAAAAATATTGGTACCCCACAGGGCAGTGGTCTTGGCCCATCCTGTAATGAAAGTCCGCCATGTGTTTGTGTTATATGGGTTGACCTAAATAAAGGTCTGAATTCTGTAAAACACTGGGTCCGCACACGCCCGTGTGTGTGTGTATACTACGACACTATAGAAAATGGTCTCTGCTGGGGATAAACTTTCAATATTTTAACTCAGAAGCTGGGACTTGTTCAATAACTTCAGAAACCTGCTGTCAGGGCCTTAGAGATGTTGCACACCATGACTTTAACCTTGTGAGTCATAATGGTGGAAGGGACTTGCGTGGGAAGAAAATCTTAGGGTTTTTTTTTCATCCTACGAGTTTGAGCCAAAGTGTTTACTGTGTGGGATGTTTGCACTGATGAGCATCTAGAGACAACTTGTGACAGTTCTGCTGCATCACACAGAAGTTTCTCCTCCTCCCAGTCCCTGCATCTTTATACAATTTATCATTCACTGTATGCTTCCATATCTGAGAATTTTTCATCTGTGCATGAAACGATGAGAACAAAGATGGAAAAGCATCGGACAGCCATTAAAATGACTGGCTGTGGAAAATGTAAATACACAAAATGTACGATGCTTGACAAGGTGAATACATTTTCTTGTAAATCAAAGTCAAACCAAAGGGATACTTCTGGATTCTTTTCTATACCCACCGTTTATAAAACCTGGGCACAGTTGGTAGCACTGTTGCATCGAAGCACGGAGGTTTCCAGTTAGAATCCTGTCTGTGGGAAGTTAGCATGTTCTCCTGATGCATGCATGTTTTTTCTCTGGGTAATCCAGCTTCCTCCGTGGCAAGCTAGACTAAATAAATAGATATTTAGCCTGGCAACGCTCCATTGACGGTTCTCGGTTGTGGGTCAGGTTCTTCCATTGTCTTTCAAATGATCTCCGCATGCTACTGGAACACAAACAACGTACTCACCGCAACGAATGTCGGCAAACGAGGCAGTCTGCTGTTGAAGGCGAAAATACGTTTTTTTCTAAATAAAAGATTTGAATACATCTATCTGCTCCCAATTCTAATAAAACCCAAATCACAATAGTCCAAATAATCTAAAATTGATGTAAAAGCTGTTTCAAACAAGCTGTCGCCATCTTGTTCCACTCCATAGGATCATCTCGCCCAACAAACCAATAGTGCTAGGAGCATTCCACAAAACTGATAACACTGTGATTGGCCCACCATTGTGGAGAAATGACAGCGCTCTATCAGTTTGATAATATAGAGAGCTGTTTGGCCTGCCAGAATGCTGCTAGGTGTCGCAGAAGTTCCAATTGAGTGTTCCTAGACCAAATTTTGCAAAGTAAGAATTTGGTCTAGTTCACTAGGCTAGCTTCTGTCCACACCACAAACATGCATGTTGGGTTGGTAGGAAACTAATTATCCCTAGGAGTGAGTAAATAGTTGTTCGTCCCGGTGATGGACAGAATACCTGTCAAAGTTGTCTCCTGCCTCTTGCCTGATGACAGCTGGAGACAGCATGGCCCTGCAACCCTACTGAGGATGAATCAGCTTAGGCCCTGTCCACACGTAGCCCGGTATGTCTCCCTAAATGAAGACATATTTCTATGTTTCGGCCTGTCCTCCACAAGAAAATGCAAATTTACACAACAAAAACGACCAGTGAAGATTTGTGTTTTCTTCGTTTTAAGTGTTTCTGTGTGGACAGAAAGAACCAGTTTTGGGTTTTGTCTGACAAAAAAGCTAATGGCACATTTGCGACCTGTGTTTACACTACAACATGGATACCCTCAGAGCTGTGCTTGCGTTATCAATCGCCCAAGTGCTCTTGTCTGTTTTTACAAGCAGAATTGCTGCTACTTGTCAAAGACCACAGGTGAAGGACGAGGTTACGGATGGTTATTGCCCGCCACCTTGCTTTTTCCACATCTAAGGAAGGTTTCTCAGCAAAGAAACCAATGCAGGTTTGGGGTCAGACCGGAACACACTGCAAGCTGGTGGGAAAACTTTGAGCAGGAAGACTAAATGGATAGGCTTCAGGGTAACTACTATCACCTACAGGTCTTACATGCATATGAATGTGCTTAAGGCCCTTATGCCCTGTGGATGGAGAATTTTCTAAAAACGAGGTGGTGTGGACGTTTTAGTTTTTTTGGGAGAGTGGATAATCGTTTAAAAAAACTTGATAGGTGTGGACAAGGCCTTAGATAATGGATGAACATGAAAACAAGAACACAAATACAAGAATGTTATGTTAGCCAATTAGTTTTAATACAAAAATTAGCATTCACATGAATTGATTTTTTCCATAAACTATAATGTCTTGTGCAGCAATTCAAGTGTAACAGTTCTTCCAGCATTAAAGATTATTTATGAAAATCACATAAAAAACACACTTTTAAGTCTCAAATTAAGGGAACAACATGATTAATATGGTACAGCAGATAGTAAGACCAAAGTGGTTGCTCTGATAATAAAAAAAAAAAAAGTTTTTGATCTGAAATATGTACCAGTGAAAGAAACAGTTCTTATATACAGAATAAAACCAACGAGTCAACACATAAAATGTTTGACTATAGTGCAGTGAGCGTAGAAGTCAAGTACGGTGTAAGAAATGGTTGTGAGAGAAAGGGATTCACCATAATCCAGTAATGATTTAGTCATGTACCAGTGTCTCAAACACCTGATGTTAATGTTTACCTTTCTCCATAAACTGTTGATATGTTCATAGCCTCTAAGTGTGGACTCATCATTATCCCAAGATCAAGCTGCCTAAGACCCACATGTTTACTATTCAAACCAAAGTATCAGATGAAAAAAATACACATTTGCATCAGATATGTAACTCAATACTACATGTTTTCTAATCATTAACACTGAAAAGCAATAACATCCAACTCATATAGGCTGATAAACTGGAAGACAGTTCAAAAGTATTAACTACTTAGGCTCTGCGTCTTAGCTCTGTTAAACACAAAAATAAACTTGTCTCTATACAAACAACGTATTTAGAACAGTTAGTAAATAGTTACTGTTTCTGACCAAAATTTAGAATTTATAGATGACGGAACAAAAAACATATTTCAGCGTCAACAGACAGTAAAGTGTTTAACCAGATAAGGATTAAAGATGAATGCATTTTGAAAATGAAAAAGGTTGACCTTTTGTTGACCTTAATAAATGCTAAACTTTGGAAGAGCAATGCTGGAACCTTCAGGAAGAAGGATGTGCCATCGATTTCACCAACATCCTTATAAATTTAAGTGCTTTGCTATAAAAAATGAATAACCTTTGAAAGTGTATTTATAAGATATGTTCAATCAGCTGTGGCAAATGTGCTAAACTGCATCGGACCCCAGGGCTTAATTAGTCAGGACCATCTTATTGATCAGTTCTGACATTATTAACTCTGCTTTTGATACAGAAGAGTTTCTCTTATCTGGAGGCAGTGAGGATATCAGAGCAGATATGCTGGACCTTCGTTTACTTGCAATACATTATGACGTGTATAAATTACAAACTATCATATGTTGGTAAGTGGGTTGAAAAAGAATCAGGGTGGCCACTCTGTTAGGTACACCTTACTGGTAACGAGTTGGACCACTTCTGCCTTCAGAAGTCTTAGTTGTTCAAAGATTCAACAAGATGTTTCAAACCCTCTTAAAAGGTTCTGGTGCGTGCTGACATGACAGCATCACAGCTACATGCATAACAATCTCCTGTTCAATCACACTATAAAGGTTCTGAACTGGATTGAGATCTCGTGAACTCTCGTGAGTCCAGTTTTCCTATTCTAGAGACCAGATAGAGATGATCTGAGTGGACTCCACATTCTGACCCACCCATCTGAATGTTGCAGCTGAGATCCAGACACATACGACCAGGAAAAACTTTTCCAGTTTCTTCTGGTCCAGCTCTACGAATCCTGTTTTCTTGTTTTTAGCTGACAGAAGAGACACCTGGCGTGGTCTTCTGCTGCTGGAGTTCATCTGGAGCAGCTGTTGCTCTGCAGACTTTGGTAGGATCTGGGGGTTATCTGAGCTGCTATTGTCTTTTAATAATTTAGAACCAGTCTGACCAGTCCCTTCTTACCTCTACAAGACATTTCCATCTAAACAGCTGCTGCTCAATTGATCATTTCTTTTTCAGACCTTTCTCTGTTAACCCTAGACAACCCTAGTGTGAAAATGCCCCCTAATGTTCAGTTCGAACTGCACAAAACCATCTTCAACATGTCTAGATGTTTTAATATACTGAGTTGCAGCCATTAGCTACGCATGCTGACAAGAAGTTGAACAAGTGTACTCAATAAAGTAGACATGCACCGAAATGAAAATTCTCGACCGAAACTGAAAATGAGGAAACCAAGGCCGAAAAACCGAAATAAATTATAAAATGTTTCACTGGACCCCACTCATGTACATTAAATAACATATAATTAAGAAATAATAATAATATTAAATGTACAGTCTTATAACTGAAACGCCTGCTGAGAACTAAAAAATTAACACTTTAAGCACCAAAGTTGCAATATTACGTTTAACGAGCCACAGCAGCAAATATAATCCCTCACGAAGTTATTACTTTACACCAAAAGATAGTGGAGATGTGTAACTTCAATCTGAGCAACAGTTTTTGGTGTTTCTATTGATATTTTCATAGTTTATGGAGTTTCAAAACTGCCTCAACCCCCACCCACCCCCCGTCAGAGACACACGACTGAGGAGAGGAGACGAGCGGAGCAGAGCACACAGAGGGCGAATATTATCAATTATTAGAAGAGAAACTTACAATGCTGACAGATCTGTTCACTGTTGACAAAGCTCTTTGTCTGCTAATGGCTGACTGATTCTCACCCTCTGATTAAAATGTTGTTTCCTCGCCGCAGTTCACTCGTCCAGTGAAAAAGAAAGTGATGCTGCTGCTGTGCGCAACATCAGAGAATCTGCGTACTTCATGTGGATCACACATGATACAAAGCTTAGTTTACCGTGTTCTGGACATGGTGGTTGTAGAAGAATGGTAAAAACACCGCTAATCGCAACAGACGTAGCAGGAACGTAAAGGAAGAAGAAAAAAATCCAGGCAGACGCAGTAGATGAGAAACTAAAAAGTGTCACACAATTGAAATGAATATCCAAGCGATCTTAATTAAACAGCATTACTAAAAGGGGAGAAACTTTACTTTTGAAATCAAAATCGACTGTTATAATGAAGCAAAGAACAAGTTGCCAAATAAGGCGGAGCGAGATAAAACAAAACGGAGTTCGCCTGACGGTCTGTTTCTACTGTGTTTTCGAGGTTTTGACTGAAAACCGAAAACTCACTTTTGGGTCATTTTCGGAGACCGAACTTTTGGTGCATCCTTACAATAACGTGGCCAGTGAGTGTATGTCACCTACTGGCTGCCCAATTAATAATAATACAACTGTGTTGGGTACTGAGTACCAATGTTCCAACATAACTCCACCTACTCGCATAGAGAAGGAAATAATATAAGCAGGTAAAGACTCAGTATTGTACACATTCTTCCAGCTAAGTGAGGTTGCAATGTTTACAGCTTGAAGTAAAACAGTGTCGGTTGTTGCGCATTATGCCCTAAAACTCCAGCTCCTCTGAAAAGGTTGGAGGGGTTTCTTGAGGTTGAAGAGCATGAGATGAGGTTTGAGTCGTGGGGTTTTCTCTGGAATGACAGCAGCTTTGCTTTCCTCAGTGGGAAATCTTTCATGGTAGACCTTTGGGTAGGACCTCTGGAACTGAAAGATGAAAAAGAAAATTATTTAACAGCAGATATATGCAAAATCATAAAAATAATACTACATATATTGTTTGGTCATTTTGATGGTCACCAGAAGACATCCCATTTAGATTTTAGTTTAGAGAGATGAACTCTAAACATTTTTGCTGTTTTAAATAAAAAAGGAGACTCTACGTGAGATGCATCTTTAAAGATAACGTAGAATCTGATTTTTTTTGTCAAATGAACCAACAAAATTTCTGTTCCAGTACAACCTTTCCAAGAGCAGACATACAGTATAACACATAAAAAAGTACAGGCTGACTGGGCATGCAGCCACTTCACACCTCTCCCATTTGTAGCTAATGAATCGGGGGGGGGGGGGGGGGGGGGGGGGGGGCATATTCAGACAATCACAACATAATTGAACATGAGGCAGGCGGGAGGGTGCAAGAATCCCCATGCAGCCGAGGGAGTCATCAGTTATATCTGTGCATCCTCCACTGTCCAGGAATGGGAAGGAGAGTTTAGGGGGCAAGGAGAGCGTTGATAGAATGTGTGTGTGTGTGTGTGTGTGTGTGTGTGTGTGTGTGTGAGTGAAATGTTGTGTGTTCATGTGTTGCATCAGTAATAAGTGACATGGTGAAAAGAACTGTTAAATTCTCTAGACTACCATTATTATAATTGTTATGATTTTCTTTGGTCAAAAAGTTGTTAAATTAAGAGTTTTTTCTACATATTAAATGTTAAACTATTAGTGAAAAATAGGGGTGGGCTTGAATAAGCTTGGCTTCCGCCCACCCCCTTTCGAACATGCCTACAACAATGTCAGCTTGATTTATTATTGATTTATCTTGTGAGGTTTATTATTGATTTATATCCTGTTGTTAATTGTGATGTTATTGGCATGTTGGAAATAAATAAATAAATGATGATGATGCGTGGTGCATCAGTAATAAGTGAGTCCGTGACCTTTCTCCCAGTTCAGTCAGTGACTCTCATAAGATGTGGTATGAGTTCATGGCGAACTGATCCAATGAGTTCACATGCCCATGTGTGGAATGGGGGAGGAAGGGGCAGAGCAAATATCCAGAGGGATTATTGAAAATCTTCAGCCTTCAAGGCCAAGATCAGGGAGCCAAATTCAGATAACAGAGATTGTTTTGGAACAGCACAGAGATGAGTTTTCCTCTACCTTCTGTCCTTTTAGCCGTCTAAAGGCTGCATCCAAACAGCCACATTTAAGGGGGTCAGTTTACAACAAGCCAAGTTGAGATTTTCTCCCAAATGGTTTCCATTCTGCATATGAATTCCAAAACCACAACCAGTTTGCTGCTCAGATAAAAAAAAATTCAAACATTGATCCTATTCGCACTATGTTCAATATCCTTTTCCCAATTTTCAAAAAGACATTGATAAAAGCACACTACTCATTTTTTCCTTGGAAGTCATTATTATTATGAGGTCATTATTTCCATGTTTTTCCATTTGCATGAAAATCTGCACCTGACCTGATTTTGAGTTAATATTCAGTCCTTGACTTAAAGAGGTTGTCTTTGTATCAATGAGCAGCTGTTTCAGACAAAACCACTGTATCACCATCATTATTGAATCTGCTACAGTGGTCAGGCTGACTCATACCCACTAGTAATTGAGCTACATTTGAGTTACCGGGTGAGTATGTTCTCCTCTAAAAGAATCACAACCTATTTTTTATCTATTTTTGTATCTCAGACAAACTAGTAAAGCTCCTGATTTTAAACCATCACTTACCAAAGACCACTAATCAAAATCACTGCCTTAAACAATCCAGCATAACTATTTGTCACTTCCTACAAATACAGATGAAACATGGAATTATGGAATATTGTGCAAAAGTTCATTTGTTTTAGCAATTCAACTTAAAAGGTGACACTAATATATGAGATAGACCCATTCCATGCAAAACTTGATATTTCCAGACTTTATTTGTCATAATTGTGAGGATCATGGCTTACAGCTTAGGAAAACCCCAAAGTTAAAATCTCAGACAATAAGAATATTGTGAAAAGGTTGAATATTTAAGGCTCAAAGTGTCACACTCTGGTGGAACCATTAGCCCCAGAGGGCACTATTGGCAATAAAAGTGTTAAACGGTTGCGCAATCAATGTACAGTTATGGTGGACAAAAACAAATGGTTTTGAATGGTTTGATTAAAAAATTCATTGAATCATTTTTGACTGATTCAAACTTTTGTTAAATGCGTGCATAACAGCTGAACTCTAATGACACATTTTACTGGTGCACAACGTGCGATCATCCGTGATCATAGTCACAGATGAGGAAGAAGGAGAAAATTTTATAAAGACAAAAATTTTTGTAAAAGGCAAAAGCGGTCCAAAGTTTGGGACCATTTCAAACTCAAAAGAAGTGAAGACACGTCAAGTGTCTCCACAGTAACACAGAGTTGTCTTACCATAACAGCACAACTTCAATCAAAGCCAATTAAACATGAAACACCCAATGTCTTCAGCCAGCCTTCAATCAATCAATCAATCAAAGCTTTATTTATAAAGCGCCTTCCGCAACCCTGTCAGGAAGCCCAAAGCGCTGAACATGGTTCAGCTGAAGGTAAATATATTGAATATATCAAAAATAAAAGCAATTCAAACTACAAAATACAAATTACAAAATAGGTGAAACATTCTAGTACAGGACAAATGTGTAAAACAATGGATTGAGTGAACCAATGAAAACTGTGAAATAAATTCAAAATAAAAGAGGGCCAAAATCAAACATGTTCTGGAAATGCCAAGCGGAGGAGGTGTGTTTTTAGGTGACTCTTAAAAACTGGCAGAGATGGGGACAGCCTAACTGAGGGTGGCAACTGGTTCCAGAGTGACGGTGCTAGGACTGAGAAAGCCCGGTCCCTGCGAGTACGACACCTAGAAAGAGGGACAGCGAGCAGGCCTTGGTCAGAGGAGCGCAGAGCGCGTAATGGGGAGTGTCTGTTGAGGAGTGTGGCTAGATAGGGGGGACCACCACCCTGGAAGAAATGATAAACAAAGACGAGGATTTTGAATTGTGAGCGATAGGAAATCGGAAGCCAGTGCAGGGAGGCCAGAACCGGACTGATGTGGTCCTGTTTCCTGGTCCCAGTCAGGAACCTGGCTGCGCTGTTCTGCACAACCTGTAGGCGACGCAGTGATGACTGACACAACCCTGCATAGAGAGAGTTGCAGTAGTCAAGCCTAGAAATTACAAAGGTATGCAGTACCCACTCCAGGTGGGCTCTCGACAGCATATGCTTGATTTTTGCAAGGCGTCTCAGGTGAAAGAAACTGGACCGGATCACACAATTGATGTGAGCATCAAATTTAAGTCCAGCATCAAGTTTCACCCCCAAACTGGTAACAACTGGTTTTGAGTAGAGAGAAAGAGGGCCAAGATCAACATAAGGATCCACATTCCTGCTGTTGGGGGGTGCAAAACAATGAGCTCTGTCTTTCCCTCATTCAGATGTAGATAGTTGGCCATTAGCCAAGACTTCACCTCGTTAACACAGGACACAAAGGACTGGATAGAGTGACCTTTCTCCTGATACAATGGAGAGTAAATCTGGCAATCGTCAGCATGGAGATGGAATGATAGGCCATGTTTACGAAAGATTGACCCCAGAGGTAGCAGATAAATGGCAAACAAAAGAGGACCAAGGATCGATCCCTGCGGGACCCCCAGTGGAGCCCCTCCCAAGATTAAAAAACATCACCCAGTTTAACGCAGAATGTCCTGTTGTGGAGATATAATCTAAACCAGTCCAGAGCAGACCCTTTGATCCCAACCCATCGTTCCAAGCAATCGAGTAGAATCGCGTGGTCAACTGTGTCGAAGGCTGCTGTCAGGTCTAACAACAGAAGCACCACAGAAGTACCCTGATCTAGTGATAGATAGATGTCATTTAGGACCCTCAGTAGAGCTGACTCTGTGCTATGGCCAGACCTGAACCCTGATTGAAAAACCTCAAACAGATCAGAATCAGCTAAAAAATGTGAGACCAGCTGCTGATAAACAACTTTCTCAAGCAGTTTTGATGTAAAAGGCAGGGTAGAGATAGGCCTGTAATTTGCGATCACAGAGACATCAGCACCAGGTTTCTTCAGGGTCGGCCGAATAACTGCTGCTTTCAAAGCAGCTGGGACAACACCTGTGCTGAGGCTCCCATTGATAATTTGGCCAAGTGATGGGCCAAGACACGGAAAGGCAGCCTTCCAGAGACGAGGCGGCAGAACGTCAAGTGGAGAGCCAGATGGCTTCTGCCTCGCAACAAGCTTACTCAGCTCAGAGTGTGAAACAGTATTGAGGGAGTTCAGGGTGGGTGGTGATGGAGGAACTGGAACAGGGTCAACAGAGTTACCAGAAATAGCTTGTCTAATGCCTGATACTTTATGAACAAAGAATCTGTGAAAATCTTCAGTTTCCAGCAGCTGTAGGAGACATGGAGCTAGGCTCTTGATACACCAGAACAGAATTAAATGTTTTGTAGAGAATCCTGGGATTCTTGGAGTTAGTTTTGATGATGTCTGCAAAATATGCAGTTCTAGCAGCCTTCACAGCATCCTGATAACCAGTGATGCTCTGAACAACTCACGCGAGACCTGTAGGCCATCCTTTTTCCACTTTCTCTCAGAGGATCTACACGCCCGCCTACAAGCCCGTGTGACATCAGAGAGCCAACGCTCCCTCCTAGGCCTAGACTTGCAAAGCTTGAGAGGGGCAACCACGTCCAGGACCTGATTACAAAGTACATCAAAGTGTTGTGAATAGTGATCAATGTTAGATGGATCTGGGTTAAAGGTCTCTAACCTTACAGACATACAGTCCACAAACTTTGAAATAGTTTCTGCATCCAGGGCTCTGAACCTAGTAGCTGGAGCTTCACACACAGGGACAGGACATGGCAACGTAACATCACAGAGTATTGGAGAGTGGTCAGAGAACACAGGAGGCAAAGTCACAAGGTTCATTACAGGGAGACCAAA